CAAGGTATTTTTAGGTCGGTTAAGTTTTAAGAGAAAATGGTAAGAAAAAGAAAATAGGAAAAGTCTAAAGGGGTACTATGGTAATTTAATACTTTCTACATCARACTTAACGACCAAGGATTCTTTGTCTAACGACTAAATTTAGGAGATCTTTGTTTCAAATTCAAGTATAGGGGGTCTTTGACTCTTTGTCACCGACCCCACAGTTTGGGAGCTCATAGAACCTTGACCGGTGGTTGCAACGGCTTCCTTTGAGCAAGCCGTGGCCCGGTCTGAGTGTTTAGTTTGCCGTTTCGGAGGAAAGAGGGAAGAAGAAGAAAAAACAAAAATGGGGGAGGGAGAGAGGGAGAAACCKGTAGGGAAGAAGAAGATAAAACAAAAACACTCTACTRGGCGAGTGTTCAAATTTTTACAAAATAATAAATTATTTATTTTAGGCCAAAAARGCCGTTAACTATGACCTTTCCACCCCTCCGTTACAACACGTGACGTGGTGGATTGTTATTCGAGGTTGCAGATTTTTTTCTGCAACCTCGATGCAGAGGATGTGAACTCTTTTTTTTSCTTTTCACACAGTCTCCAACCCCACGAGTAAGCTCCATTAATTAATAGTGTTTTCTCCAATCTTCCTTAGTTGCATCGCCTCTTTTTCTCACCATAACATCGTCCTATTTATCCTTATCCTAGTTCTAACTTCTAACGCAATGAGTTAATATCAGAAAATATGAAAACAGAACAAGGTGGTCTCCTATAGTGCACGGATCTGATGAAAGAGTCGTCCTCTCCGTCACTTCCATGACTCGACGAGTTTATTAAACGCCGCAACAGACGAACCTCCCTCAGCCCACGCAGCCTTTGCAGCCTCTTTCATCTCCTGACTACGTTCTCTAAGCACTCTCCCATCTTCCGACTCCATCAACGCCCTCACTCGTTTTTCAACCTCGGCTGCACTCACAAAACCATCCTCAGCTTGATCCAAAGGCATCACCAACTTCATCTGCTCTACCAGTACAGTCCTGTTCATAAACTGCTCCGCATAGAGCGGCCAAGCCACCATTGGCACCCCTGCACATACGGCTTCCAACACCGAATTCCAGCCACAGTGAGTCACGAACCCACCAACCGATTCTCGACTCAAGATCTCTTGCTGGGGAGCCCATGACTTGACCACCAGGCCCCTGTCTTTGGTCCGATTCAAGAACCCTTCAGGAAGTAGAGCCTCCAAATCGAGATCGCTTTGTACTGCGAATCTCAATCCCTTGTCCCCTTGAATAGGTGGAGGAGGCTTCACCACCCATAAGAAYCTCTGCCCACTCTTCTCCAACCCATGAGCTATCTCTTTCAACTGTGCCACAGAGAAGGTACCACGACTGCCGAAACACAAGAACACTACGCTTCGACTAGGCTGAGCATCAAGCCATGACAAGCAATTAATCCACGGCACGTCACCTCTTCTTTCATTGGCATCAGCGATTAATGGCCCAACATAGTGAACAGGCGGGATTGGAGCATCAGGTAGGCAGACCCCATCAGATATAACTTTGATTGCTATTGTCTCTAGAGACTCAAAGGTGTTAACAATTATTCCTTTTGATTTAGGGAGATGGGCAGTGAAGTACATAAWGTCATCATAGGCCGGGTCGGTGCGTTCCAGAACGATTTCCACCATTTGAGAGCCAAGGATAGGCGGTAGGCCTGGAAAATGGAGGTAAGTAGTAGTGAGGTTTTTCAAGCTTKGGGTTGTCTGAGTGTGAATTGTGGGGAGATAGAGGAAATATGCAAGGATGGCAKCACCAGAAGTGAAGAAGTAGTAAGTGGGAATATTGAGATCAGAGCCGATATGAAAGGCAGAGGTGCAGAAAAGGTCAATGACGAAAGATCGGATAGTGGAAGTTAGGGAAATGTATTTCAGCGCCTGGAGGACGTTTGGGTCACTAAGGCGGAGGAATTCGAAGAAGATAGCTTCTTGGCTCCGAGTGGGAGATGTGTCTAGAGGTGTGGAGAGTGGGGGGAATTGGTGGAAAGAGATGGAAGGGTTGGTTTGAGAGACATGGTTGATGTACGAAGTGGTGGCGGGGTTGTCGTAAGGTCCGGTTGCGAGGAGAACTGCGAGGGAGATGTGATTGTGGTGGCGGAGGATTTGTTTGCCTAGCTCCACCATGGACATAAGATGGCCTATCTCAGGAGCTGGATATAGAACTATAGTTTCCTTCATTTTCTTGCCTAGTAGAAGTATAGCAGGAGGGAGACTGGAGTGGAGAGGTAGAGCTGCAGATTATGGATTTCCTGGCTACAATCTTCACTCCACTGTCCTGTGCTCTCTATTATTATTCACTATTTACTAATCAGTCTAAATAGAGGGCTAGTTGTTAGTTACATTGTCACATGACTAGGAACGTTTAGGTGTTGGAAGGAGATATGACCTCACCATCCAAGCACAGGAAAGCCTTGAGTCTGTGGTCCATACATTGGAGACAACACAAGCTGATGGATACGTCATTATTGGAGTAGGCACGTTAGGTAATCACAATGACTATGTGACATTTCATCCAAACATTTTACAAAAATTATTAATTATTTTATTATTTTTATCAAAATAAATAAAAATAAAAAACAATAAAAAAGGAAAACGTAAATGAGTCTAACTCCCAATACGTTTAGGTTTTTCTTTTTCATTTTTTTTTATTTTTAAATATTTTGACAAAATAATAAAATAATGGCTAACAGAACAAAAACGTTTGGATGAAAGACACAGATGTGTCACACAACTATTATGTGTCCAGTTATTGTGTTTACCCTACGTGCCTACTACATTCAGACCTAAAATTCACGCAATCAATTTTCTAGAATTTCGCTCATCATTGCCAACCTAAAAAAGAGTTCAATACACTTTAGATATTTTTATTAATTTTTTAATTTTATTCATCAAAATATTTTTTTAAAAGGGATAAAGTATCATTTATTAGAAAAGGAAAGAAAGAAAATATACAAGAGGTATAAAAAAAATCAACGCCACATACAACAAAACAAAACAATCATTAAGAGAGTAATTAATCTAAAATCTCTAACAAGTAGGGGTGCTCACCGTTCGGTTAACCGTGGGCCTTTTTTTGTAACGGAACTGATATTATTGGGTTTTGGAAAAAAACGGTAATTAAAACCGAATCGAAACCAATAAAATATATAACCACAATATATATTATATATAATATATAATGAAAATTATAAATATATATATATATTTATATAATACGTATTTATTAATTTATAATATATAAAAAAATTAAATATGTATAATATATAATATACATAAATATATATAAAATATATAGAACTATATGTATATCAGTCGGTTTGGTTAATTGCCGATTTTTTATATTGGTTAACCGAAATTGAACCAGTACCTTCGGTTTTTTAAAACACCGAACCGACCGATTCGATTAACCAATTTTTTTATTCAATTTTGATCGATTTTGATTTTTCTATTTTTTTGCTCACCCCTACTAACAAGCCTAGACCCAAAAGCCAACAAAACACACCCCAAACAATCATGACCAGTTTGGAGGAACAGTTGTTCTAACAGGCCGAATTGTTTCTACCTCTGCCTCTTTGCCCCTTCTCCTAGTGTTATTAAGACGGAATGACAGCCGGTAAATCATAACAATCCACCATAAACTTGATTTTCTACTCCCGGACGGACGCAACGAATAAGCAGACAAAAAATCATTTCGAGAGGTATAGGCTTTCACCTTGAGTAGGACACCCCAAGGAACTTCCGAAATCCAATACTTTCTCCACTTAATCTTTTTTTTTTTTTTTGGTAGAAATAGGAGGAGCAACACAAGATGGGGGTAGCTCGGCCCCAAGCATCACAAAAACAATAGAACTTAAGTTTCTAGGGATAAAGGGAGGGCAAAAAGTGAGTGCTGAGAGGAAAAGAAAGAGCTTGGTTTGTCATCCAGTCCGCTGCTTGATTGGTCTCTCTATAAACATGGTTGTAGGTGACACCACATTCCAAATGTCCAGACAGCTTCAAACACTCCTCGATGATGGTCTTCAATCTCCACGGGAAGTCCATTTTGTTCTTTAAGCACGAAATCACAAGAAAAGAGTCTCCTTCAATGAAGATGGGGAGACTCCTATAGTTAAAAGCAATATTGTGGGCCTCCCACGCAACCCAAGCCTCCGCTACATTAGTTGAGGAGTTCATGATAAAATAAGCTTGGTCTCAAGAAAAATCCCCCATTGATTTCTTGCAACGCAACCAATTGCATAATCACCTTTATCATTTCTGGACGCGTCAAAATTAATTTTGATAGAACTCCCTTTTGAAGCTTTCCATTTGATTGGCTTCCAATCTTTATTCTGTATAGTACTAGATTTAGAACATTTTTCAACATTGTAATTAAAATATAGAGACAAAGCTCTATCAATTATGACCAAAGGGTGGCTACAATGGTTTTGGAAGGTATTTTTGTTTTTATTCTTCCAAATGTTCCACAAGATAAACCAGGATTTCACAGGGATCGTAGCATCAGTTTGATTGAAAACAAGCCATCCCACCACAACCAAAGTGAAGAGTCATTTTCACTAGGCCCCTTAATATTTGGGTCTAAGATATTCTAGTTTTTTTAGCAATAGTACAATTTTTAAAAATATGAACAATGTCCTCAATTCCTTCACAGAAGCTGCAACCAACATCAATGGAGAGACCTAAAGACCTTAAGAAGGTTTTAGAAGGCAGCATAGAATTAAACAGCAKATATAAAAAGGTTTTGATTTTAGGAGGAATTTTAAGCCCCAAATCTTGTTGACCTGAAGGTTAAAATCACTTTGACCCCTGTGCATGATAATAACTTCTTTGTATGCCGATTTAACAGTAAAGTGCCCTTTGGAATTCAACCTCCAAATCA